CGGATTCGATATAAAAGGCCCAAATTCAGCGGCAGCGCAGTTAGTTCGCCTTGGGCCTTGCCACAGTTAACCAACCGATCCGAAATCCATATCATAGAAGTGCAGCCGCTAGTTAATCGTCGACGGATTAGCACTAAGCCCTCTATTTTGTGGGCAGGTGCCAGCCTAATTAAACGTTGAGCTGCTGTTTTCACGTCACTAGTAATCGCGAAAACCAACATAATTCGCAGCAATTTGCTCACCTCAGCGTGGAATTCGCGATTGCGCACTCCAATTTGGTGGATTGTAAATACGGTGTTTGAGTACCGCGAGGGAATACCCCTTCTACCCCACTGCCCCTTCACCGAAGCCGTTGGCAATAAAAGTGAAAGAACTACATTGTATTCGCAAACAAACTGTTGATCAATCGTCGAGAGAAAGGATACCGTAAGTACATTTTATGCGAAAAGTGCGGTAACGCAATTTAATAGCTGCTAAAAATCATGGCTATTTCACCAAACCGTTTGTGGCCGTAAAGCACAATCAAAAATACCATCGATAGATGTGCTGCACATCATATTCCTAGGAAAGCCATTAAGAGTTTCGTTTAAAAAACCCAAACAGTTATCAACAAATTCACTCTGAAAGTTAATTGTTTAATGTTCATTGGGAAAAATTGTTATTTGCCAGTGCAAGGTTCGTTCTTTCGGAAAGTTTCAGATTTTATTAGCACGTTAAGTGCTAAAATACTTGTTCGAGTTTATAATTTCAATAAAGGTAAATTAGACCCAGACAAAGATTCAAACAATTATACGAAATAAATCGTATTTTTTAAATCAAATGCTAATGATTTGATCTCCATTCTGAAAACCACAATCCGCACAGCTCAATTTATTTGGAGTAAAATTGGTGCAATAAGAATAGCCTCGCAATATATTGTATTATTTTAGCGAACAAAAAAGTTGATATCTAGTTTTATCTGCAATCTAATAATTAGCCACTCATTGGTAACTAAGTGCTCAGTGATCAAGAAATTGCTAAAATAAAACCCAGACCCAATAATTTAAAGTAATTACCGATCTTAAGGTAAACTCTATAAATGCTTTTCTTCCAATGTCAATTATTCGTATCTGCAGTCTGCAACTCAAAAAACTCAGTGGCAATAATTAACTTGATTCGCTGAAAGGGCACCTAGTAATAAAACAATTTTAGGATAACGTTCATGCAAATTCAAATAATTGTTAACAGCTTTGGTTTTGAAACGAAATGAGTGTTTTAATTAATGGCCAATTATGAAGCACAATAGCTCCACGTACTTAAAGCACATACCGGTTTGCAAAACTGCTCCAAATTACACATTTTAATATAGATTACGGTCAAGCATTGTTTTTAAAACCACCTAAAGCCGTTGGCGGTAAACAACTGCCCAAGCACTGCGTTGAAAGTACAAATCTTTTAATTACAAGCAAGACAATTATTTTGAGATCCAATGCGGCGACCTTCAGGCTGCCATAGCGGGTCTTTCGAAAAAGGTTTCCAGTCGACCAAAAACTGAAAACCAAGCCGAAAACCACATTGATCGGCACCCGCAGTGGCCTTTTGAATGCCTCGAATTGATTTCTTTTTATCGCATTCTAACTGAGTCCGGTGTTTTGACTCGGCTCGAGTACTTTGATATAAATCTCGGGCTCTTGACAGCTGAGATATATGCTCCACACTATGGACAATTCATGTTCCTATTCGCCTAGAACACTGGGATCGATCATTCGGATCAGGTTTTCGATCGTCCGTGACTTATTACGCGGCCTTTACTTTCTCTATCGCTCGGAATCTTTTAAGCCAGTTATGCAAACGCAGCCAATGGTGACGTATGCCTCATACTTTCATATGTTTCATTACATCTAACGTCTTGCCATTCACCTGGTGGTCTTAAGTCCTAACGGTTATGCTGTTCGAGCGGCCATTTAGATTGAAACCCAGAAGTAGTTTACGATCTTTGGGCCGCAGGTATGTAAATTTGCGCAGGCGTCGCTGACAGGTGTTGCTGTATCCGTCTTTGTCGGTCGATCTCACATAAAATTAGTTTATTGTATAGGAAATAATGAGAATAATGAGAGAAGTCACGACACCTCCAACAATGGCAGATATTAGTTTTGGGAACTACCATGCCGCCATGTGTCAGCTGAAAAGCCAGAAACACCAGCCTGTGCAACTGCCACCCATTCCAATTCCAATTAGTTTAGTTGCACATAATTGACAGACATGCATAACTCACTTCTGGTGTTCAGTCCAGCTAGTTAGTCCCAGTTATGCATACCCGTACCAATAATAATTCCAGAATTGCGTGAGCAAACAGGTTAGCCACCCACTGAAGAAATAGAAACTTCACAACTTGGCCAACTCCGAAGTGAATGAATGGTATCTTTTGTGCTAAACGATCGATACTACACAGGTTGAAAGCAAATTAAGACCAATATATCTCCGCATTGAATGCCTAAAAATAACTTGAGTAACATATATGGTCACCTAGAGAAGTGGGCGTTTTTACGGACGTTGCACCCGATCTCGTGCTGAAGTCGGCTTGCCAAATCAAAGGCGGTGCCTCAAGTGGCTTGGACTCCTTCATGGCAGACAGTCCGGCGTGTGCGCAGCCCACATGGCGGATTGATTCGCCCAAGAACCACAGAGCACACCACAAACTTGGCCAATTATTGCAATTACCTGAGCGAATTAAACAATAGCATAATTAATTAGCTGAGGAGCTGTGGAATGTGGCTGATGACCACAGACTTTCAAAATGCTTTGGCACTTATCATTGTAATTATCACTTTATGGAGGATCATGTATTCAGTAGTTATTGTAAACTAGATTCGTCAAAGAGAACGTAAATGCGGACTAACATTTATCAATAAAAGTGAAGTGAAATTGATTTACATATGATATTATGACACATTACTAGGATTATTTAAATAGGCTCTTTTAACATTAGTTGATCACAGTTGCTGAACTTAACTTTCTAATTAATGCAAGAACAGTTTTCACAAAAATTAAAAAGAGATTTTCGAATAGTAATACACACACCTGCATCACCTTAAAATCGAGCTGATTGCCTCTTTTTATTTGTAAGCATTTAATGCCGACTTAAGCTTTAGCAGCCAGCAACAAAGCATTTAACGCGCTTGGCTAAATATTTAAATTCCTTTTGCATAACAGATCGGTAACGATTACACGGTTGGTAATGCCAGGCGATTTTCGTGATTTCCATGACTTAATCCCCATTGCACTCGGCCAACTGCGATTGATCCAGTTGATGCCATCGAAGCAAAACCCAAAGAAAGCGATTGTGTATTCGGGTCCGACCAGTTTTGCCAATTCCACCTCGGTTTCAAAGTCAAGGTCTCCGGTCTCCGTACCCCCAAATCGACCAGCTTGCAACGGTCAACGGCAGCAGCAACTGGCAAGTGGCAAGCGGCAAGTGGCCACATGGCCCGTCCATAATCGGCGCCCATTACCACTTTAGTTAGTCCGCAACCGCTCGTCAGTTAGCTGATTCACGGGGCGTCCGTCACGACTTGTCCATGAAACTGGAGATTCGCTTTCCTTGCAGCTTTAGCTTTCCTTCCTGCCAACGCAATCCTACGGACGTAATAGGAAAAATCCCGCCTGGAAGGTCGCGGCCGATTAATGGGGCTGGGAAAATGTGATTCAATAAGGGCGGCGGTCTTTTGAATGATTGCGTGAAAGCATATCCAGAAAAACGAGCCGACATTGCAGTCACACATTTTGCGAGTGCGATACACTTTAATGAAGAAATTGTATCTCGCGTGCCGAACGGATTGTCTTCGGCGGAAGCTTCCGTTTTCGAATAGCTTTTGCAAGAGTTTTCCCTGCTCTGGTTGGCATTGTATTGTCACTGCCGTACTTTGCGTGTTAACCGGACCATCGTAATTACATTAGTTTTAATTGCAGCCAGCCAATACAACAACTCAACAACTCAGCCACTCAGTAGCTCAGCATACAATATTCAACCAAACCAGGTAGCGGATCATAAATCGTCGTCTTGTCGCCGGTGTGTTTCTTTGTTTTTAATTCGTTTTTCGCTTTTCCATGGCGCGGCACTGAGCCTAATTAGTCGAGCGACTTGTCGCCACTTCATTCACACAAGTGCGGCACACGTTCGGCTCATCATTTCCCAGCCATCAGTCGACCAAAAAGGAAACTTGGAGCCTGTTGTCGTCGGGTTGATTAAAATGTTATGGCTACCAAATGCAGACAAGCAAATCTATTAGCAGCTAATAAACAAGCAGAAGAGCTTATTTCAGCTGGTTCGGTAGTTACTCAAGTTGAGATTTTACTCAATCGATTTCCATTCATTGAAACTAAGTGTACTTTCCCTTTTTCAAATTCAGATCATAAAGTTTCTAAAGTAATGATATGTAAAACTATTAAACGAGTTGCATTGCTCGCACTATCCGATTCCATATTCATACTTCATATTCATGTTCATATTTCAGCCAATGAGCTAATAAACCCATTGCGATCTTATCTGATCTGAATGCTGTCATTCATGTAAATGTGATAATCCATTTAGCAACAGCAGAAGTGAGACGACCTCTTTGGCGAGACTCAGCTGATTAGGAAACCAGTGTGTTTATGGGCTCGTCTACTTTACTATGATATGCCTTTTTATTTTTCGTCAAAACAATCTTAATTATGGAACCAAGATCAAAAGCATGAGATATTCTTCAGCTTAAAGCCAGTAGCAACTGTTTAAGATATGCGCCCGCCAAGCACTGAAATTCTCAGCACTTGGCCATGTTGTTTTATATGTGGTATAATTAAAAGTAAAGCAAGTGGCATGGGACCCAGAGACCTATGTACTCAGCCGGCATCATTGGAGTCGTGATATGTCAGCCCGAGTGGCGACCGGGAAAGGCAAAGGCGGCAAGTATACACATATATATGTGTATATGCTTACTCGGATCAAGAACGGCGACTCGAGTTCGATTCGAGGCTTGTGGTTTTGTTTTTCGATTTTAGCCTTTAATTGTAAATAAGCTGGCAACCAAAGTCAAAAACAAAAACAGAAAGACAAATCACGCCGGGGGTCTGACTGCCATCGAGTCTAAAAGGTGATAACGTTGACTGCATCCACTGGCTGACGCAGTTGCTTGGATGCGAATGTAGGTGTGTATTTTACAAAATCAAATTGGATGCTTAATACAGGGCAGCATAATGGGCGTCTAGATGTTCAGCTTGACGTCTTGAACGTTCTTCAAGGCTTCCGAGTAGCGTGCCAGCACGGGCTCCACCTCCTCCTTGACGAACTCGCCCACTTGTTCGCTGGCTCGTCCAGTGAATGTTTTGGCATCCAGTATGGTGTCCAGTTGCTCCAGGATGGGCGAGAAGTAGGGATCCTTGCGCACTCGATCCACCAGATCGTTGTCCTTGCCATGCTGCTTTACCTGTGCCCCGGCTTCCTGAGACAGCACGCGAATCTTCTCGTGGCACACCTGGCGATCTCCTCCCGCCTTCACCATGGCCATGATAATGTTCTCCGTGGACATGAAGGGAAGCTCCTGTGAAATGTGCCGTTCAATCACCTTCGGGTAGACGACCAATCCCTGCGAGATGTTCAGCAGAGTGAGCAGGGCGGCATCCGCAGCCAAGAAGGCCTCGGAGAGGGTCAACCTCCTGTTGGCAGAGTCATCCAGGGTGCGTTCCAGCCACTGGGTGGCATGTGTATTAGCAGCACTGCTGAACAAGGTGATGAGGTGGCGGGCCAGAGCGCAACAACGTTCCGAGCGCATGGGGTTCCTCTTGTACGGCATGGCCGAGGAGCCAATCTGGGTGCTCTCAAAAGGCTCCTCCAGCTCTTTGCGAGAGGCGAGGATGCGCAGATCGGAGCACATCTTGTGGATGGTGGTGCCGAGGCTGGCAAGAGCGGCCACGATCTCCACATCCACCTTCCGGGAGTATGTTTGTCCGGTTACCGCATAGGCCTTCTGGAAGCCAGCCAGTTCGGTGACCAACAGATCCAGCTGCTTCACTTTCTCGCCATCCCCATTGAAGAGTTGCAGGAACGAGGCCTGGGTACCAGTAGTTCCCTTGACTCCACGGAAGCGCAAGTCCTCCAAACAGCGGGACAGGGCTCGCTCGTCCATGATCAGATCCTGGATCCACAGGCAGGCCCGCTTTCCCACCGTGGTCAACTGGGCGGGCTGGAGATGGGTGAATCCCAACGTGGGCTGATCCTTGTAGCTCTGGGCAAACTGACTGAGACGAGCTATCACGCTGGCGACACGTGGGAGGAGCAGTTTAAGAGCGTCCCTCAGTACAATCAGATCTGTGTTGTCGCCCACATAGCACGAGGTGGCGCCCAAATGGATCACCGGCGCTGCCGAGGGACACTGTTTGGCAAAGACATGGACGTGGGCCATAACGTCGTGGCGCGTAAGTCGCTCCTCGGCGGCCGCTGCCTCAAAGTCGATGTTGCTGATCTGGAGCTCCATCTCGGCAATCTGGGCATCGCTGATCTCCAGTCCCAGCCTGCTCTCCGCCTTCGCCAGCCACACCCACAACCGGCGCCAGGTGGAGAACTTGTTCTGGTCACTAAAGAGGAACTGCATCTCTTTGCTGGCGTACCGGGTGCTCAGCGGCGACTTGTAGCCCTCGTAGTTGCTAGCCATGTTCGTTATTCTATGTAGAAGATTATCGACTTTAAATCACAGTTCCACCAGGCTAATAGTGCGTAATTACAGGCGAAGAGTCGGAAAACAACTGTTGCTTAATTGAGCGATTTCTCACATGTGGCGGGGCAGTGTGACCGACTTGCGCTAGGGCGATATGAAATATACCACACGCACATATTAATATACCAAGTTCTAAATGGACCGTTATATTTCATATATTTCAAAAGCGGAACCGGAACTGAGCTAAATAATATTCAAAAGAATAAGTCCTGAAATGGTATAGAAATCTATGAAATGCTGTTTAACCTGGCCCATACTTATACAATTTAATCTGATTATTCACTAACTCTTTAGCTGTAAGCTTTACGTTTTTAGTTGGCAGAAAAAGACAGACATTATGCCAAGTTAAGTTTGGTGGTAGCTAAAGTTTTTGTTGCTTTGATTAACAATTAAAGCGACCAAAAAACCAATAAAAAGCTGCTTAAAATTGATTCCCGTTTATTGGGATATACGATCAAAATTACAACGTCATAAAAACTAGAAATAAAGTCAACCATCAAAATCGTATACAAGCGAATCAGATAATTTGCGATAAGTATCAATCCATAGCTGGTTATAATTAAAAATTCACAACTTTTTGGTAAAAGTGGCAAAAATGTAAAAGGAAAAGCTTAAAAATACGAACTAGTTTTCAGCATACAAGCACTCTATAGACTAAAATTCAAAAATGCAACTGACCAAAATCAACTGGATACAAATCAGACCACGGCAGTCATGTTAATGGCAAGGCCGTAAAAAGTAATTAAAATCGAAAAATGTCAAGCACTATGTGGACAATTTTAATTTGCATCAGCCAACGCTAAAACATACACATAATGACCAACCAAAAATAGTGACCACTTGGAACAGAACTGGTTCGACGAAATCGGTGCAGTACAGTTAAGAATCAATTAGTGCAACGCATCTAAGGCGATTGCAAATTGCATTTGGCATGTGTGAAAATATCCAAATAGCTTCCAAATTCAGAAGGCAGAAAAAACCGACGGCGTGGACTTGGGCACGAGATCTCGATGTGTATCTCGAACTCTATCTTAATACCCCTGAGATCTTGTGATCTAACTTAAGTTTCGTAAATCACCAGTCTTTTGGCTATGAAATTGCATACTGACGATACTTTGATAAAATGCTGTCATTGGCTCGCATAAATTGTGATTCCAAACGACACATATTTTGTAATTAACGCGCTGATTTCTCGACTTGCGAAACTTTGGATCCCGTAAAAAATAGAGAAAATACCAGAGCAGTGACAGCTTCTGATGGGTCCGGGTCCCATATTCCAGTTTTAGGTGCTCGACGCTTGGGACACTTTCCTTTTAAATGGCCATTTCAATTAGTGCTTGTTACTGTATCGGTCGGACAAATCGGAATGTCCTCGATTTGTGTGCACGCCACGTAGCCGCGTTTTTCATACCTATACCTCCGCCAAATACAACCGATTGCAATGATGTTGTCGCTCTCCGGTTATAGAGCAGGTCTTATATGGCATATAGTTGGCCATAGCCAGCCAATAAATCAATCACGGCATCACCAGGCGTCCCATGCACTATTTTACACTTTAATGATCACCAAATAGCTCTGGATATGAATTCGTTTTTAATTAGAAGTCGTTAAAGTCGTAAAAAATTTGCTCGCGTTGGCCAATTCCGTCACTAGATCTGGCCAAACTTGCCACGCCTTCTATGAAAGCTCATATATGGGTGCACCTGCACCATTTAAGTGCATGACTGCATAACGTATGGTCTATGTCAATCATGAAATTAGCCAAAGATAAAAGAGTCCATACATGACCAAAACAAATTGAGCCCTTTCCGCTAAAATTACGTAACTTTTCCGTTTGCCTTTTGTTGTCATGTGGTTTGAAAATCCATAACTCATTATTTGGTATGCGCCCATACTTTTGGGAAAGTCAATCAAAACCAAATCATAAATCAACGTTTGCAGGTTTTTAAATTTCAAAGCAAACTAGTTTGAAATTGAAGTGCGCGTAAAATATGTTAATGCTATGGAAAGATCATTAGGTTAGTCTAGCCAATTCTTTTTGGTATACAATTCACGCCAGTTGTTGTGAAATTTGGGATCGAAGTTATTTATCGTTAGAAGTTGGAGTAAAAATGGATAAAAAGAGTATAGTAACTAAGGGTAAATGGGGAAACAAATTTGGTTTGGACGCAGTGTATCTATTATAATGCCCCAGTGCCTCGGGAAGAGCTTGAACTTATAACTCATTTTACGAACATAGTTTAACATAATTCGACATAACATTTCAAAAGTATAATCTCGATTTTGTCAAGTATTTAATTATTAATTAATTCAATATTTAATTAATTCACTCATTTTACAGTTTTACAACTCTGTGATCGTAAATATTTGCTCTTCAAGAACGCGGCGCAATAAAATTTTAAATGTATTCATTTTTTAGAAAGGGACTGCATGCTAAATTAGAATATAATAGCGCGACCAAGCGGTTCTTGTGACCATTATAGCCACGACATGTCTGTCCAAGCGATCCGCAGATCGCCCAGATATTTCAGAGGTTCTCTTGTGTTCTGTTACAGATTTCAGCGATAGCCACATCAGATATAAATATGTCCCAGTCATTCGTGTCTAGTACGTCTCATTAAGGCTGAGACCAACAATGTTGATGACGGCCCTGACCAACGGCTGCTGTGTTCTGTGCTAACTTGCATATGGATTGGATTGCCTTGGCGTGTCCGCCTGAGACTGCAATTCAAATTTAAGTCGAGACTCCAATACAGCACTCTTTTCTATTGACAGACAGGCGGCGATGTTGGCGTTGCGGTTTTAAATCCAGCCAATCATCGGTTCCAATCACCCGTTGACCCCATTCGAATTTTAAGACCCCAGAGATGCACTCAGAAAAACGTAGGAAGCTGCTTAGTTGCATTACTAAGAGGATGCATTTATGCATCTCATCAATTCGTTTTGTGTCCAAACCTTCAAGCGTGGGTACTGAATATTTATTATCAATATGCTCGCGATAGAAAGTGCACTTTCAGCACAGAAAACATTACCTAAAATTATTAGATTTCAAGCCAATAAGCTAGGTCGATTTATTAATGCCTAATGAATAAATGTGTTAATTAGGCAAGGGCCACTTTGACTTGAAGTGTAGGCGAGGGTTTCCTGGACAGGGCCACCTCCAATCGGCCGATCATTTGGATCCAGGGTCCAGGAAAGTGTAAGACTCATGGCACGAACTGGAATTGTTGTCTGGTCCATTGTTCTGCACGGCATGCAATTAAAACATTGACGGAGGGGCGCCTTTGTTTTATTTTGTGCGGTTTCTGGTGGTGGATGCCGATGGATGCGGATTTGCATGCAGCAGCAGCTGGCCTTTTGTGGAAAAGGTTGGGAATGAGTTGGCTTAGTCGGCAGAACGGGGCCGCAGACAAATTCATTATGTAAAGCTAACCATTACTGTCGATTCGGTCTGTTTACATAAGTAGCTTGCAAATTGGTCAAATATGCCGTTGCCATAAAACAATTATGAGACTTTTCACGCTTTTGCGCGCCTTGAGCACTCGAATCTGCATCTGAATTGGACTCATTGTGCTCAGATTTATGCTTGGGGTTGGGTTTGCTATTTGGTGCTTATGCTATTTGGTATGCCGTTTTGGCCCAATACCATAGTACACGTATAGTACACATAATACCCAGATAGCCGGGTCTGAGCAATGAACATGTTCGTACTAAAATGTCGCAATAAATAATAATGAATGCGCACCAAAACGGTGATGAAACCTGTTGTGACCATATGTGAGCCAAAGGAGTCGGAGTCCAGATCGATCGGCTGCCGCAAAAAATGCAAAACGTTCCAGTTGTAGTTCACTTGCCGTCTGCAGCCGGCGAACATGAAATGTGTCCAATGTGTCCAAATGGTCCAACGAGTCCAAGTCGGTAGTGTTGGCTTCACGTATCAGCCGCTGGGATACATACAATGTGTGCTCTTTTGGCCACTTGCAGGTGCCTCTACAAAAAATTCAGTTTTTATGCCACTTATGTTGCTGAATGTGTTAGGAGTGCTAACAACCTCTTCCCATGTAGTTCAGGATGCCATATCCATAGATTGTCGATGGCCGTAAATGGCGAAGACCTTGGACCACAATATTCATGTTTAATGTGTTTTACAACCAATACCTTAGCACAAATTCCTTGCAATGCTTTAAGTATTCATTTAAATGTCTCAATTTCAGATGACTAGGGCACGAGATCTTCTGCTCTTGGCCCTCTTGGGACTCATCTCATGTGCACTTGGCCTAAAGGTTTCCTCGGGCTACCACATAGTCCACAATCATCCGCAATCAACTTTCCCCAACTATCATGGATTCAGTTACCTACAAGGCTCAGCTCCATATGTAATTGGGTAAGCTTTTAGAAAATCTCTTCTTCCGTTCTCCGTTCTCTAATGTGAGCCATCAACTTTTAGGAACAGCCTGCCGACTTCTCCGGCTCCCCAAAATCCGTTTTCATCGCCTGCCAGTCCGCCAGTATCGGCTTATGGCTACAATTTTCCCACTGCTGGTAGGGTGTCATGTGCTGCTCCTCCGGCAGTTTGCGAAAAAACTGCTTACCGCAGCTTGGACGGATCCTGCAATCACTTGGAGCAACCTGGCTTAGGAGTGGCCAATTCCAAGTAACTAGTGTTAGATTCCATTAAGCAAGGCGGGTGTTTATTTTATTATGCTCTTACTAGGTATGGCCGCCTGCTGACTCCCAAATATGCCGACGGCATCTCGGCACCCACTAGATCCGTGACGGGAGATGAGTTGCCCAGTGCTCGTCTGGTTTCCTTGGTGGCTTTCGGAGAACAGGATGTACCCGATCCGGAGTTCACGCTGCACAACATGCAGTGGGGCCAGATCATGACCCACGACATGAGCATGCAGGCTGGTGGCACTCAGTCCAGTAAGTATTACATCTCAAATTAGATACATCTGGATACCTGGATAAAGTTGCTTGAATGTCCAACAGAAAAGCATCCCACACGTTGCTGCACCGACGATGGTCGTCTGATTGGCCTGGACACCGCGCACAAGACCTGTTTCGCCATTATTGTGCCACCCCACGATCCGGCGTACTCCCAAGTGGGCACTGAGTGCCTCAATTTTGTGCGCACCCTGACGGATCGGGACTCGAACTGCCAGTACCGCGGTGGGCCGGCGGAGCAGCTGACGGTGGTCACCTCGTATTTGGATCTCTCGCTGGTATATGGCAATTCCATTCAGCAGAACAGCGATATCCGGGAGTTCCAAGGAGGCCGGATGATTGTGGAGGAGCGTAACGGAGCCAAGTGGCTGCCACTTTCTCGCAATGTGACCGGCGATTGTGATGCCGTCGATGCCAGTGAGGTGTGCTACCGCTCCGGGGATGTGAGGGTCAACCAGAATCCGGGCCTGGCCATTCTCCAGACGATCCTGCTGCGTGAGCACAATCGCATTGCGGACGCCTTGTCAGCCCTGAATCCACACTACGATGATCGCACGTTGTTCCAGGAGGCGCGAAAGATCAACATTGCCCAGTATCAGCAAATCAGTTACTACGAATGGCTGCCCATCTTCCTGGGGGGCGAGAACATGCTGAAGAACCGGCTGATCTACAAGGCTCCGTCCGGAAGCTATATCAACGATTTCGATCATAACATTGATCCATCGGTGCTGAATGAGCACGCGACGGCCGCTTTCAGATACTTCCATTCCCAGATTGAAGGTCGTTTGGAGTAAGTGCCGATTTGCCATTATCGATTACTATATTCGCATTTCATTAATCTTAATACTCTGCTACAGCCTTCTGTCCGAGCTGCGTCAAGTTCTCGGCTCTCTGACCCTCAGCGACTGGTTCAACCGTCCCGGCATTATCGAGGTGGGAGATAACTTTGATTCCCTGACCAGAGGACATGCCACACAGCCCGAGGAGCTAACTGATATCAATTTTGACCGACAGGTGGGTACACAAAAGACAAAATTAGTCCACCACTCTCACCTCTCAAAATTTCCCGGCCTAGATCAAACACTTCCTGTTCCGAAGGAACATGCCCTTTGGTTCCGATCTACGCTCCCTGGACATTCAGCGTAACCGCGATCACGGTCTGGCCTCCTACAATGACATGAGGGAATTCTGCGGACTGAGTCGCGCCCACTCGTGGGAGGGATATGGTGATCTAATCAGTCCACCAGTTCTGGAGAAGCTAAAGTCGCTGTACCCAAGTCACGAAGACGTGGACTTGACTGTGGGTGCCTCCTTGGAGGCGCATGTGGCCGGAGCCTTGGCTGGACCCACCTTCCTGTGTATCCTCACTGAACAGTTCTTCAGGACCAGGGTGGGAGATCGTTTCTTCTTCGAGAACGGAGACAAGCTCACCGGCTTTACGCCCGGTAAATCAACATTTCTCCTGTCACTAACCAAGATATTAATGTATAACTACCACTTTTTAAAGATCAACTGGAGGAGCTGCGCAAGGCGAGTATGGCCCGTTTGCTCTGCGACAATGGCAACCACATTTCATCAATGCAGCCCGAAGCTTTCAGAACTGTCTCGCATTCGTAAGTTGAAATTGAGCACAAAGTTTCTTAGAAAGTTACTAAGCTGTTTGTTAAATTGCAGAAATCCGATCGTGCCGTGCTCAAATATTCCACAAGTCGACCTCACCAAATGGATTGATCAAAAGCCATATGCCACTGTAGATCCGTCTCACTACGGAAAGTAGTAATCCCTTGCTGCGGGATCTATGGTTAACTAGTTGAATACAAATACCTTTAGCTTAATCAGTAACATAATCGTAAATGCGAAGTCCATTCCCCCACCCTGTATGATAATGTCCCCAACTGATGTACAGAAATAAATCCCTTACCATTTAAATAATCAGCTTTACTTTTCTTTGACCTATAATGTTGTAAGGTCGCATTGTCGTCATTGTCTTTTCACGGAAACGAAAGGAAGTCAAGGGCAGAACCCATAAATGTCGAAGATCAAGAACGATCTGCCTTCTTATGCAATATGTCCAGATAATAAAACGCTGGAGCCGAAACCTTTACACTTTCGTTGACTTTGGGACAGCTCCGATTCATCGGGGTTAATCATATGGAGGCGCGCGACCGAGGTGTGAACAAGTTGATAGAAACGGCCAATTAAGAGACAAAACTCTTTTTTCGGCTGTTTTTCAGTCATTGTTCATTCGAATCGTAAAGCTAAACAATCGGCAACAAAGAATCTGTTCTTTTTTGCATATGTTTTCATATTCTGTTTTCATATGGGAGTTAACATATTAATACTTCAGGGGCTGTCTACCTTTGGATTGGACATGAATTTACATAAGCTTAGAGGGAATCTAGGATGATAGCTTCATCTCGAACAGGTTTGCATATTTTTCGAGAGATTTGGCGATCAGATTTCTGAATGGGCATGATATAACGGTTCTGGTGAATCTAGATTAATGAAAGTGATTTAAACAATGTGTGCATACGAGATTAGCAGTTCATAATGCGGTATAAAAGTGATCCGTCTGCCGGAGAAAGGCAGCAGATGCCAATTCGCCATGAGGCTGTTCGCAGTGATTTTTTGGATAGGTGAGGGATAACCCCCAGTCAATCTGATTAAGCAATCCTGCATTGATCTGATTTCTGAATGCGATTTATTCCCTTCCAGGCTGGGCCTTTGGCCAAGCGAATTCCAGGAACCCAAAAGCCGAGACCGGCAGACTGATAGCCTCTCTTCAAGCTGCTCCGGCTCCGGCGCCAGCACAAAGTGTGATCTACAAACTGCCACCACAGCACTATTACGCGCCACCGCCGCCGCCGCCTCCGCCACATCACTGTAATTGCCCGCCGGGGCCACCGGGTCCTCCTGGACCACCGGGCTTACCAGGAACACCTGGTCCCCAAGGTCCCAAGGGGCACACTGGCGCCAAGGGCGAGCGAGGAGAGAAGGGAGAGCGCGGTCACTACGGATTACCAGGGCAACCAGGTCAACCTGGACCCATTGGCCCACCGGGACTACCCGGCCCACCCGGTCTCAAATCGGGACACGGTCACCACGATCATCATGATTACCATCATCATCATCCAGCGCCACCACCACCACCGCCTCCACCACCGCCACCGCCACCACCTCCGCCTCCACCACCACCGTCATATCCGCATCCACACCCGCACCCCCATCATCCGCCCCCACCAATAGTGACGCCTCCAATTATAGTTCCCATACCATTGCCACCACAGAAAGGAGACCACGGCCATCATCACCACAAGGGATCCAAGGGTCCTCCCGGACCTCCTGGTCCACCAGGTAAGTGAGAATCGTCACTTATGAGCTGCACAAACGGTCCACGCGAAGCAGTGAAAATATTGAAAGGATAATACATTTGTTTTCCGAATTTTATTGAGTTTTTATCTATTGCAGGAATGGGACCACCGGGTCCTCCAGGACCCCCAGGCACTGCGTATCCCCCTCCCCCTCCTCCGCCACCTCCACGACCATCGTACCCATACCCCCCGTATCCGTATCCACCACCTGGACCATATCCAGCGCCATGGATTCCCCTCCCAGTGCCAGTGCCCTGGCCATCAAAGGGACATAAAGGCGACAAAGGACACAAAGGAGGCCACAAGGGAGACAAGGGCGGACATCACCACCACTATTATCCTCCAGGACCCAATAAGGGAGGCCACTACCCGTATCCACCCCATGGCGGCCATGGCCCCTATCCGCCACCTTATCCACCTCACCATCCACATGATGGCGGAGACAATGGCCATCACCATCATCCACCCCACAATCATGGAGGACACAACCACCATCATCCACCTCCCAGCAAGGGGGAGCATCACCATAATCATCCCTCACACAATCATGGAGGACATAGCCACCATCATCCCCCACAAAATCAGGGAGGGCAGGACCCACATAATACACATCCCCACACTGGTACTCACGGAAATGGAGGTCACAGCCAACCTCCACATCACCAGCACCAGCATCATCATCAACCCATTCCCACAAAGCCGGAGGATAGTGGCGAACAAAGTCCACGGGATGATCTGGACTTGCTGGATGAAAATGTGGAGATCGTCGAAAACATAATTGATGAGAATGATTCCATGGAGGGTGAGGAGGTACTGTCCAATGAGCCCAGTGACTTGGAAACGGAACCCGAGGATTCGAACTACGACATTCAATATGCAGACAACACACTGGAGAATCTCCAATCTCCGAGTGGCGCTGAAGAAATCGACGATGAGGATCCAAACTATGTGGTAACAGAGGGGGAAGATGCGATAGAAGAGGACCATACAACTGAGGACGAGATGGACGCCGGGAATATGATGGAGGATAACGCAGCTATGTATGGAGATGCCATTGAAGAGCGAACCAACAAAGGTCCAATTATCCTCTCAATTGGAACTCCTCGAAATCCTTTTCACATTTACGCCTATGAACAGTATGATACATAAATAAGCCAGCACCACCAGAAAATAAAAAATAACTTAAAAATATGAATCTTTTTGTGTTTTTCTTGCAAATCAAACGTTTAGATCGCTAAAAATGTTGCGTTTGGAGTTTGTGATACAAGAGCAAAGTATTTCTGTTGATTTTTGTATTAAAAAGATCATCTCATAGAATTTGGAAGCAAAAAATTTAAATAAATAAACAATAAACTTGGTTATTGTTAGCTGTCCACATAGTTCCGTTGTTCCTGGAAATACCTGTGGCTTTGTTAGATTTTCTATAAAATAACAATGGACAAAGATATGAAAAAGTGAAATCATAATGAAATAAGATTTTAATTCATGACGATCAAATAAAATTGTCAACTCAAATCATTTTTCATAATACAATGCCAAATTGTTGATTCTTTTCTACTGGGCAAGTAAAAGTGATTTTAATTTATTTATCTTTTTGCAAATCTGAAATTGATTATACAATAAAGATTCAGTTTTCAATCAATCTTGCCAAATGGCTGCAGTTATTAGGTTGATTGAAAAAAAAAAAATATTTCGCCCACATTTAAATTAAAATTTTTAGATCACTGACACATTTAGTATAAAAATGTTTATCTTTCACGACTTTTCAAAGTCCCTAAATCTTGAAACATGTTGCGTGTGTCATTTTGAATTTCACTATTTAGAATCAATTTGTATGAAACCTTAAAGAAATTTGGTATACATATATGATAGGAGATACGCCAGATCGTTCCATTTTTGAAGTTTTTTATTTTATTGCCGCTTAAATAGAACAATGGGTGCAAATGGAACTATTAAGAAACAAATGGAACCAAATAGAAACTAAAAAAAGAAAATAAAACTTCTGAATAGTATATATTATAATTATTTAATAAACAACAAATTTAAGTCTCATTTGTGGTAATCCATTTAATGAAATATTAATACTTTGACAACAGAAAATAAATAATTTTTCTTGAGCATCAACGGATTCCATACCTGTGTATCTGAACAACTCTTCGGTTAAATTTATGCAAAATCATCAGACAGATCAGATCTCAGATTTGCGATTTACATTTTATGGGTTTCGCATTAACCCATTAAAGACTAACCCAACTGTTCTTAAAGGCCTATATAAGACGGGCAGCTGTTCATTCACGAATGTAGCGTCTTGAAATGAGGCTGCTCGCGGTTCTGCTGTTCACAGGTAAGCAGAGTGAAGATAGGACCCTAGAACTTTACTTTACTTGGTATTTGTATTGTAGCCATCTCAGCATTCTGCGAGGGATCATGGCTTGTTTCCCCAGTTCAGCCGGTCATAGCACAATCGCGTCCAAAGCCAAGGAAACCACATTATAAAAACAACAACCTGTACTATTACAGCCCTGAAACGATAGCTTCTACCTTTTACCATGGATCCCAAGCCAATTGCCAATGTCGTCCCGGGCCTCCTGGACCCCCTGGGCCACCAGGAATTCCTGGTCTGCCAGGTGAGGAAGGAGCGCCAGGTGAAAAAGGAGATCATGGTGACCGCGGAGAAAGCGGAAAAAGAGGAAGGCCGGGTTATTCTGGGTTTCCGGGGCCCATTGGCCCACCAGGACTACCTGGCCCACCGGGCCGCCCTGGAACATCTTATCAGAAACCAGGTCCAACAATTATTTACTTGCCAGCAATTCCAGCAGACAAGCCGCCAAATACGGAAAACACAAAGGGCAGCAATGAAACCACACCATCAAAACCCGAAAATAGAAACGTCATTAAAATGACAAGCAAGCCCCAGGCACCGCAGCCTTTGAGGGCAAATTCCACTCAAATGAAGTATCTTAAAGTTAGTCCGCAACTGACCCAAAACCACAAAAACCGAAATCGCAAGAGACCAACTACTTTCGGCAATGCCGATCGCAGGAAAATCAACCAGAGCAACAAGATAACAACATCGACTAACAACAGAAAAACAGTGACCCATTCCCAAAATCATAAAACAAACACTCCAATACGCCGAAAGCAGACTCCTAAGCGAAAGGTAATTAAAAATACAACTAATGATTTAAGCAGTTCAGATCGACAGCCGGCTTCCAACTCCGAAGGGACCAATCTTGGCGAGAAAACCATATTAACCGATGCAAATACTAGAATGAATTTGAGTATCAGCCATGTCGGATCCCAACAAACGAAAACCATAATCACAAATGGTGTAAAAAGTAGTCAAATTGATGACAACATAACTATAAAGAGGGATCCAGTACCAACAGATGTATCTGCTTTGAGTTCTTTAGATAAAGACCAAACGTCAATGACGGCGGAGATAGTTCAAACAAATGCGCAGATATCTAATACTACATTGCAAGCTACCTCTCCTGAAGACATGACTCAACATAATAGTATTAAAACAACAGAGGAAAAGCTAGATCTTAACAAATTCACAACGATTACCGAAGAGTCACCTGATGTGATTAATACATCAACTGTTCAAATTGAGACCTTAAAGAGTGAAGCACAAACTACAGAAATTCCTATTGAGGAATTAGAAGCAGTCTCCGCTGGACTTTCGGTAGAAACGACCACATATAACATATCCAATGATGAGATAAGTTCAGGTTTCACTACATTGGAACCAATATCGAGCACTGAAAGCCCAATGACAACAGTGACACCTGAGTCTGGGGAATCCACAACCCTTGTGCCGAATGATACATCAAAAATCACTAACGATGAGGAACTAGGATCACCAACCACTGAAACTAGCACAACAGAATCGACAGAGGCATTCCCCACAGAGAAAGATCTTTTTGATAAGCAAGATCATAGGTTGCCTTTCACCCCCACTGAAACTGAGATTGCAATCCCAGTAGCTATTCTGTTTGATAGTACGCCTGAGGCGATGGAAACTACACAAGCAAACTTTACTGTCTAAGTAATAAAGTATGAAAAAATAAATAACATTAAATAAAAGAGTGCGTTGAGTATCTTATTTAAATAGTGTACGATTTGTAAGTAACGCTAAGGGGTAAACATTTTAATAGAATAATTTTTATTACTCCGAAACTTATTCGTAATCATTAAATGGTGCCATATCTTTTTTAACTACAGTCACGGGCTAAAAAACAAATCCCATTTCGTTGTTGCATTGTGTTCGTTAATGCAAGAAATGATAAAAATTAAACTAAACAAAAATGTTTGCATCTGAAATAACAAATTGAGCAGCCCAATTAGTTTTAGATACATTCACTAGTGAGAGCACTAGTGAACAAGCTGAGGCCTGAGATCCTGCCATTTGGTAAGATCGATTTGCGGAATAAAATTGCAGTTGAGTAGTAGATTACTATAAAAGGAAATCATTATGCAATAATATTTCAAGAAATAAAGAGTTGTATGCTTACTGTGAATTTGGAAATACAAATACGTTTGGCTGGATTAAATGAAGGTAGTTGGCATTGTTGCAGAACAAGCTGGCCAGGCTCACTTTCCGTATCTCAGCCAGTTGAGCTGTGAAAAAACCAATTGCAAAGTGCTACTCCCATATTATTATATCCACTTACCGCGCGAAAAACCGCCTGCGTTCTCCCGCTCAAAGAAGAACCTATCGCCGCGTCGCGTGTTAAGGAACTGTTTTCCGATTACACACAATAAGGTGGGTCCGAATAGAGCATCTGGGACATGGTACTCGAGGGTGCCGCCTACACCTAGTTCCACGTCATCCGGAGTGGCGTACAATCGACGCAACAGCGATATTTTCTACACCAAAGTTAGTTTAGTGATTGGAATTACAATAATCTTAATCTCAATAATATACCTCTCCGGGAATTTCGTGGGCGAAATCTGCCCAATCGACAGCTCGTCGCAGTCCACAAAACTCTCGCACATCATTGTAAGAAGCCAATCTGAAGTCTCGTGCCCTCTGAATATCTATAGACTTGAGATCCGATCCATACTCCTCAAACTCCTTGCGGTTGAAGTAATGCTTGATCTCCCGATCAATATTCCCATCCGATCGCTTGTGCAGCTGGGTGGCCAAGCCTCTCAGCAAGGCATCGAAGTTGTCGGATGTGTCCAGTAAACGAATAATCTCAGTTCGGTCGAGGTAGTCTGTCAGGCGCAGAGTTTGATTATAGTTCCGATTGGGGGCAACCAATCTGTAAAAATGATATTACTGTAATAACAGATACTATCAGGAATAAAGTCAAAGGCTTACGAGAACCATCCGGGGATTTGATTGTGGGCGTATCGGAAGGCAGCAGCAGAGAACTCCGCATAGGCAGCAGGATTAACCGTCTCGTCGTAGTCGTTGACGTACTCGGTGGGCTCCACTGGATATATCAGACCGTTCAAGTATGTATAAGTGCGACCAACGAACAGAGGAAGCCAGTCATAGTATGTGATCTTCTGGAACTGCGCAATGTTGATCTTGCGTGCCTCCTGGAAGATGCGCTCGTCCCCATGATCGGGATTAATTAGCGCCAGATTTTCGGCCAGACGATTGTGCTCTCGGACCAACAGAGTCTGCAGCAGCGCGATTGTGGGCGAGAAACGGTTCCGACTGTCCGGTACAATGTAGCACTCGCTCTTGACACCGCACTCGCCATCCTCATTTTGGCTCACTGGTAGCCAGTGTTGTCCGTTCGTGTAGCTGGTCTTTAGAAGTCCGCCCTTGAACAACCGGACCTTTCTGTTTTGCGAAGGATTGTTGCCATAGATGGAGGAGAGATCCAAGTAAGCAGTTGCCACCGTTAGCTTCTCGGGATGGGCTTCCTCACTCTTCGGACATATGGCATCCGCATCGGACACACTGCGGGCAAAGTTCAGACAGGTCTTGCCCGTATGATAGGCGATGGGTCCACCACGGGGCAAGTTGATTGGCAGACAGCGAGGATGTCGTGGCTCAGCACAGCAATCTTGAGGAGCTCCCCGTGTGCTCAATTGGCTGATGTCGTGGGCAACAAACTGGCCCCATTGCATGGCCGCCATGGTGCGGAATCTATCGTTCCTCGTCTGCTCGCCGTACAGCGACAAGGAGATCAAACGGGCATTCGGAGCCTGTTCCACTTGCCGGGGAGGCAAAAGCCTACGATAGCGTGAAACAGCAATTCCAAACTCCGGATACAACAGGTTGTTGCAGGATCCATCCAAGCTTCGGTAGTGCAGATTTCGAGTATCATTCAAGCAGTTGCGAGGCGGAACTCCACACCTTAAACGTTGGTGAGAGCCAGAAGGCTCAGCCCAACTATTGTGAACATTGTTGGCATTGTACTTGGGCATAAAGTCTTTAATTAAAGCATCCAAACTTCCGTCACTAACTCCTGGACGAATGTCAAAAGAACTCCGTTTGGACCTGGACAAGGGTTCCATTGCCGAGTACGGACACCTGGTGGCCACCGCCACAGACAGTACACTTAAAACCACCAAAAACTCTCTCATAGCACCGACGACACCACAAAGCGCACTGCAGCACCAGCAGCTGGGTGCCCATATATAGATCTCCGCCAGTGGCTGACCCGCACGATCTTCGGGCTCTGGAGACGTGATAATACAACGCGAAATTCTTGGTATGATTGACTAGATTGAAGAACGTGCAGAAATATGCGAGCATAATTTCCAATATTCGGAAGCTCAAACGGTGGGCGAATTTCATAAACAAATAATGTCGACTGGAACGTGTTTACCGTTCGGAAAAAAGTCAATGGTCGAGTTCTTCTTAAATGTAGCTGATACAAAAAGATTAACCATAGCACTACCTTTGCAAAAATCATGAAGAATGAAATCACATAAAGATAAACTATTAAGAAGTGCAGTAAAAAATTCTGAGTCATAACTTTTTTTGTTGAATAACTACTACTTATATAGATATGTAACATATGTTAAACATAAACTTATAAAAATAGTTTGGCTGTCTGCACCACAAATATAAATTAACAGGAATGTCTTTTTGTTTCCTTATTTAAAAGATAACAGAAGTATATTAAACACAAAGCTTACAAAATGTGAACAAAAATTCCTTTCGAAAAAGTACTTCACTTCTTCGATTTTAACAAAAAGTTCTTTAAGTCTGCTGGCATCATCAAAAAGGAATTAAGGATTGTCTTCCATTTATGATGGTAGGTACAATATTCCATGTATAAAGATGAAGCCTCTTCATTATCAATTAAAGCTTCCGTATGAATCTGCAGTCTTTTTAAAATAAATGAAGAGCTTACAAGAACCATTTTGGGATACTCCGGCCCGACTTCAGAACAATTTACCCTGCTAAGGTAATACATTTACACATCTTTATACTTTTACACAGCTACAGATCTATTACTCACATGATATCAATATATTGTTCCATAATGCATCTGATTACACAAAAAGTTTGACGGTAAATTTCGATATTTTTAAAATATATATCATCCATTTCAGTTAACTCAATGAAGTGCAATATATTATCGCTAGAGTGTTGTAAAAAGCCTGTATTAAATGAACAAAACTTTTTCAAACCTGAGCCATTATAATTTTAGATTTATACAAACCATTCATTGCTAGAAACATGGAGAAGTTGAGTACTCCCAGAAAACGTGTCTCATCCTTTTCTTCGCAATGCAAGGCGAGAAAACTATTGTACGTACCGTATAGAATACACAAATTCAGTTGCAGATTTAGATCTATATTGAGAAAGTAAATTAATATAGCTTCACTATAAATAATATAACTCAAACCTAGTCGATCCTCTTTCCAAGCTGAAATGGTCCTGTTGATAGCGACGATGAATGCTTTATTGTGTCGCACAAACTCTGGGGAAGGCCTTTTATCAAGCTAAGGGACATAATTCAGAGAAATATTAATCATCCGATTGAAAAGTTATCACATAACTTACATTTGAGTTTTCGTTTACAATATTTGTTGTAAAATTGAAATCTTCGCGTCGTGCTAAATCTAATACTATGTTGTGATCACGGTGCCTAGAAAAATCAGGACACAGCACTAATTCCTCGCCTTTATGGATTTTTTTAGTAGTCACTCCAATGACTTTCCCACTTGGTAGAGATCTGAAATTTTCATAAACATCTTAGTGTGAACAAAAATATAAGATCATAACTTACACAGC